TTTTTAGATAATTATAATAGTTTATTTATTTTATAAACAATCAATTATATTCTGTTATAATATATTAAATTTTCGTGATATTATTGATGAAAAATAAATTGTACTTATCAATATTGACCTACTATATACGAGTAAAATACATTAGTTGACAAATTACTATTTATTAAAAATTGAAAATAATTTTCATTTATATTTATTTTTAGTGATTATTTATTGATATTTATTAGGTTTAATATTTTTAGTTACATTAATAATCATAATTAATCATTAATCATCATAATTATTTTCTTTTTGATTATTGTGACTTTAGTTGGCAGTTAATTAAATATTTAATTTTTTCCATTGAAAAAATGTATCAGTTTTACAGTGGTGTTATATTTTAAATATTTTACTGTGAACATTTGGTGAAAGGGCTTATTACACCAATTAAGAATTAAGTTTTTAAATATTCCATAGAAATTATGTTGTAACTAGTGTGTATTAAATATTGTATTAAAAACATTTTGTCTAGATATACTATAAGTATATTATGTTAATATGTTATATTGCTTTATTGTGTAGAACATGTTTGCTTATAAATGAGTAGTTTGGTATTGAGGTTGAGTTTGGAGTGATTACCTATCAAATAGTGTAGTGATTTCCTCCTGAGGTTTAGAGTATTGCGTTTAATTTTTATATGTTTTGCCCAGGTGAGTCGCTTGTCTAGGGTTAGGCCTAGATAATGGATGTTGGAAACTGTTGGTATTGTTTGATTATTTAGTTTAACTGGAGGTGTTTCACCCTGTCTTAAGGAAAAAATAATGTGTGATGATTTTTCATTGTTAATTTTTACTTTTCATTTAGTTTACCAGGAAGATAGGCTGTTTAGGTGGTTTTGTAAGTGTAATTTAGCAGTGTATGGATCATTTTGAGAAGTGTAAATAATTTTGTCATCAGCGAATTTGGCTATTGAAGTATACGGGGTGGTTGGTTGGTCAGCTGTGTATAAGTTATATAGACAAGGAGATGAAACAGCACCTTGGAGAACACCGGCTAGAATAGGGGCAATTGATGATATCTCAGAGCCTACTTTTGTCACAAAAAAGCGGTTGTTGAGGTATGATTGGAAAAATAGAAAATAAGATGCAGGAAGAATTGTTTTTAATTTATAAAGAAGGCCCGGGTGCCAAATCCGATCGAATGCCTGGGCAACATCTAATGAAACAGCAGAGCAATATTTTTTCGTTTCCGATGAGTACGATATTGAATCAACTATTCGGTTGATTTGATGGATTGTTAAATGTCTACTCCTGAATCCAAATTGTGAATTTGAAATGATTTGATTGATGTTTATTAGTTGAGATATACGCTTTAAGATTAATTTTTCAGAAAGTTTGGCAAATAAGGGGAGAAGACTTATTGGTCGGTACGAAGTTGGTATGTCCGGGGGTTTATTTGGTTTAAGAATTAAGTTAATAACTGAAGTTTTCTACTGAACAGGAATGTACGAGAGCCTTAGTATGGAGTTTAGAATATGAGTGAGATGGATGATGGTTTTTTTCGATAGCTGGCGAGCGACTTCAGCTGTGATTAAATCTAATCCAGGGGCTTTTTTGAGGGGAAATAATTTAATGTATTGGTGGACTTCGGCAGGAGAGAAGGGTTTATAGGTGGTAGATAGAGTGGTAGTGGGATTTCTAATGATTTTGAGATATATTCTGTAAATAATTGGTCATTGATATCGTGGTGGGATTGGAAAACATATTCAAGGTGTGAACGGAAGACATCTGCTTTCTCATCATCTGATTTGCACCAGGTACCACCCGGTTTTTTTAAGGGGAAGTATTTAGGTTTTTGTTTTAAACACTGACGAGTTGCATTCCAAAGTTAACCGTCTTTTGCACTGATAAAGAAAATCCAAGAGTTGAAGGATTCATTTTTTAACTGGTTCAGATTACGTTTTAGAGATGAGGATAGGTTGTTGTAAATATTTTTATCAGATGGTAATCTTGAACGTTGCCAAAGTGCTCTGGCACGACGTTTTTGAGCAATTAATTCCCTGGTGAAAGCGAGAATTGAAAATGGATTTGAATGTTTTTTGTAAGTTTTTTTTTATGGAGGAATTCCAGGCTGCTGATTGGATTAAATTTGTAAGCTTTTGGTTGGCAATTTCTTTATCTTCCGGTGATTTAAGACTAGTTTTTAAGTCGATATTTCGATCTAGATTGTCTCTGAATTTCGCCCAGTTCATGATACCTTCAGTAAGACAGGCTTGTCTTGGTTGGGCGTCTAGTGTTAGGAGAACCGGAGAATGATCCGAACATGGGTCGAGTAGATTTTTTATGGAATGAGAGATATTATTTGGAATATTTACTATAAATATATCCAATATATCGGGGCATTTCCTCGGGGATTTTGGCCAATAGGTTGGGTTAGTGGGGGATAAGACTTTGAGTTTTTTTTATGTTTATTAAATTAATTAGGGTTTGCCCTTTTGGATTTTGGGTATGACAGCCCCAAGCTGGATTCTTTGCATTTAAATCACCACCAACTAAGAAATAGCGTTCAAGAGACATGAAAAATTGTTGGTATTGTAATTTGGTTATTTTGTGTTGGGGGGGGGGGGGGGCGCAATACGTTGCTGCTATAGAAATTAATATGTGATTTGTTTTGAGTGTAATTATTGCTGCCTGTATAAAATCTTCGTTTATTGTAGAACAAGTGTTGAATTGTAAGGAGGATTTTATGAGGATCGTAGAACCCGCATTTGCAGTGTTGTCGTAGTGGGGTGCTGATATTAGTTTGTATCCGGGGATAGAGAATTTAGTGTTTGGTGTGAAATGCGTTTCGGTGATTAAAGCTATGTCAATTCTTTTTTCGTAGAGTATTGTGGTGAGTTCGTTTTTATGGTTTTTTAAACCATTGGCGTTCCATAAAAAAATAAGTAGGGACTGAGAAGTGTATGAATTATTTAACATTGTTAGATAATAGGCGGTCGAGGACTGTTATGAGGAGGGCTATTAGTGGATTTATAATAGCTTGAAAGTTGTTAATAAAGGACGTGAGGTCGTTCTTCATATTTTGTGATGATGGGGTAGGCGTTTGAGTAGAAGTTGCCTGAGCATATGATGGATCTGAGGTTGTGTTAGTGGTTTGTGTTGGCCACTGGTAACTTTCACAGTTATTAAATTTAAAATTAAAATTAACCTTATTTGTTTTGTTACTGTTATTTTGTTTGGTAGAAAAATGTCGGTGATTTTGAAGCTCCTTGTATGTTTTGCAACCTTTATAGTTAGCCGGATGGTCTTCGTTGCAGAGAGCGCAGCAAGCAGGGGATTCTTTGGATTTGGTACAGGTAGAAGATGGATGGTTTTTTCCGCAGCGGACACATCTTGAGGAGTGTGCACAGTATTTTTTTGAGTGGCCATAGTCTTGGCAGTTATGGCATTGCATTATATCTTTACGTTTATGGGGTTCTTCCACTTTTATTTTGGTATGCAGTAAGGACGTCAATTTAAATATATCTTTGTTTATTGGAGCTGTAATTTTTTAGACGCATTCAACGATGTAAAAAACTATTTTTAATATTAAGGTGGCGGTGTAGTATTAGCGAACGATACGTAGGGTGGCACACAGACGATCGTACTGCTCGCGTGCAGTGATAAGACTTGCACTAAAAATTAAATCGAAAATATTTTATTTAAAATAACGTAAAAAATAACTATTGATTAATTATTAAAAAAAGGAATAAAAAGGTTTTAAAAGTATAAAAAAGTATTTCGTCATCCTCGCCATTGAACAATCTTTATCTTCGATATAGCCTACATTAAGAAAAAATTAAAACAAAAATTTATATTATTATATATGTTGCATACGAGTATGTCATCTTATCTTTAGCAATAACGACCGGTCGTAATTTTATCAATATTATGTGGCTGTGAACGTTAAAATACAACGAAAAACAGATATACATATATACTATAAATAATAATATGCACTATAGAACTACTAATATGCATTAAATATGCATTTTATAGGTAAAATCGTTGAAATATGTAAAATATAAAAATACAATTAGGTAGTGTTATTTTAATAAGAATGATCTAAATCGGGGGAAATTCCAAGGGTGCCTATAGACAAATTCTCAGGGGGGGACAAAATTTTAATTATGTCCACGAGATAGAAAAGGGTATACAATTTAACATTATACTATTATATTTTATATATCAAACTGGAAAATTATGAAATAATAATTATTTAACCAATTAACCATAAAAATTATTTATTGAATTTTCATTTGATTAATAACATAAATTTAATAAAATATTAATTTACAAATAAAAATTTTTTAACACCAAATATATTGTCATGCGTGATTCCATCAAGTCTCTTCACTCATTATAAATCTTGTGTAAACAATTTTTCAACATTTTTCAGGGGGGGACGTGTCCCTCCCTTGCCTCATGGGCGCAATTCTTATCAGATTTCAAAAATCTTATTATAATACCTATATACATATTTGCATATAAATCCGGTCCCGGTCCCTAGTTATATCATTTTAACACACGACTGATTTAAATTCATACGATTTGAGGTTTATAAAATAAAAAGATACTGTTACACTCTACTTTTTTAAGATAATTCATGAAAGTGGGTGGGATAAAATTTATAAACGAAAAAAAATGTTTTCTGTACATCCCAAACATAGATTACATAGTTATTTAACAATAGTTATGGTTTATGGAGACATACCTACAAATCGACTGTAGCAGAAGGTCAAGACATATATTGTTAAACACAACATTCCAGTGCTGGGTTATAAGATTGTACCGCCATATATTTACTATTAAAAAATGTAATTTCCCTAAGTATAACAGTTTTTACGCATGCGTACAAGTACTTGTGTAGCCCCGCGAGTATGATCGGCAGCAAATTATAATATACGATAACATTGATGACTGATAGCGTTAGGTATGGCGGTGACAGTTTTTGGAAGAGGGTAGTGGGTGGTGGTAGTATTTTCATTTTTCGAATACGTTGCAATCGTAATTCATTTTTTTCAAACACATAATTCGTTCCGATAGTTTTTTACTCAACTCTTTGAGTTCACGCTCTTCTTGAGATTTCAATTCTAATTTTTTTTCAGAAATCTTTTTCTCTCGATCATGCTGTTCACGCTCCGTTATGACAATTTTTGCTATCAACTCCTCGTTCTTCTTGTTTCTTTCAATTTCCTGTTGTAGCCTGTACTTCGTTGTCTCTAAAAGTTTGATCGATTCGTTTTGTTCTGTCAGCTGACGTTTGAGCGAATTGTACTCCATTTGTGAGTTACATAGTTTCGTATTAACACACGCCAAGGTCGAGATCAACGACGTATTCTCAGCCTTGAGTTTACCGTTTTTCTTCTCCAATTTATCTTTTTCTCTGCATAGAGCATCACTTATTTCTTGATTCTTCTCCTGAAACTCGGTCGTTCGCTTAATCGTTTCATCCCGTGCTTCTTGTAATTGTCGTTCAACCGTCTCCAATTTAGTGAAATTTTGTTTTAATTCACCTCGTAGTCCATCCATCTCTGCCTGTAATGCACTGACGTCTTTATCATACTTAATTCTTAATTCTTCATTGGACGACTGCAGAGACTCGTTCCGGTCTTGTTCGGTGCTCATTTTTTTCTCCAGTTCGGCATATTGCGTAATTTTATCTGCCAAAGTCTGTTGTAGACAAATTATTTCTTGATCTTTAAGTTTAAGTTCCGATTTCATCAGTCGCCGATCATCCTGAAACTTGTTCGTGATGTTTAACAGTTGGTTTTTCAATTTTTTAATTTCTTTCAAATGAGTCGATTTGACTTTTTCTAGGTCCTCCAACTTTGCTTCTTGCTCTTCTAATAAAGTATGTATCTGCTCATTTTTAGCTCGCAAACATTCGTTTTCTTCTTGGTTATACAACCAGCGCGTATGTATCGTTTCATAATCATTAACTAGTTCTTCGTTTTTATTTACCAACTCGGTGCACATTTCTGTCTGTTGTTCTTTTATTGAATCCAGCGCTTCAATGGCCACGAACAATTTGTTATCCAATTTTGAAATTGTATCTTCGTGTTCACATAGCATTGTTTCTAGTTCACCTATATAAGTCTCCAATTGTTTTATTTTGCAATGTAATATCTCGTTTTCGTTATCCATTATTTATTTCAATTCGATATAAGACTTAAATTTATGGACGATTACTTTTCTTTGATTAAATTTGCTTATCTAAAATATTTATATTATTTATAAATTCAATATGTTTCCAAGTTACATCATACTTTCTATCAATCATATGATTTTATTAAGTACTTAAAATATTATAGTGGCCAATAAATACAGTTAAGCGTGATATTTATCAAATTAGAAACATTTAGTTTTAATCAAATTTTATTAATAGTTTTACCGTCATATCCTCTATATTTTCTTCGTTCCAAATAAATGTATTTGAACTTATTGGACAAAAAGAGCTCAGACATTGTATTTTAAAATACTCCAATTTAATAACAAAAAACAGCTGTATTTGTGTTGCATTCATGACTAACGTTATAAAAAACAATAAAAAAATTTCTGAAGTAATACTTACTTTTACTTCTTGATTTTTAGTTGTAAGAATAAAATTGGAATAAAAAATAAAATTATTCTTACATATTAAAATTAAACAGAGAAAAAGAGCTAATAAGTGTTGGAGTATAGAGGTATGTGTACGAATGCTATTTATACTTATTTAAAGTATTGTGTTTGTTTAAGTATACATTATAAGTGAATTCTATAAATGATTATACTAATTTTCTACCTGTATTGCTTCAATAACATGTTAACGCATTGAATTTATTATAGGAGTAGATTGGGTAGTGTTTTAAATAAATGTGAAATTTAATAATCAGCAATATAAAATAGAACAGATTACTTATCCGATGTGGAAACTTATCCTTGTTCCAAGGTGAAAAGAAATATAATTCTGGAACATTATGTGTTGAAAATTGCAAACCTGAGAAAAAATCTAATGAAGATGAAGACGATGTAATAAATATTACATCATTTACATCAATTGAAATTACGAACAACGAATTCAAGGGCCATGGTTTTTGGTTTATGTTGTAAGCATGATGGCGTTTTTAAGAGACTTTTTTTTTAAGTTGAAAAGCGTGATTGAAATACCTACCTTACTAAATAAATTTGAAAATGATACTACAACTATATATTATTCCGATAAATGGCGTGCGTATTTTACTATTTAAATATTTTAAATTAACATGATGCGGGTTTATCCATAAAATGGTTAATCATTAAGAAAATTTTACTGGCCCAATTAACAGGTTTTAAGACACGAACTATAGAAACTTTTTGGAAACACGTCAAAAATAATTAAATAAATACAATATCAAAAAACACGCGGAGCGACTTACCTAGGTATTACTAGGGCCCGGATTTATATGCATTTACATGTTTTTTTTCTGAATAATCCAAAAAATAGCTAGGTAAGCTACAAGTTTAATTTGAAATCAATAGATCCTAAATATAATATGATTTTATAATTATTTTGTATATTTTTGCATATTTCTGTTTTTTACGATTTTTCATTGCATATAATATACGATTTTTAAATGCATAATATTTAATATTTTGCTTATTTTAATTAAAATAACGTATTAATAGTTATATTTATAAACCATGTAATTTGACTAAGTCATTTTGTTATCTTATCTGAAACCTATTGGGACAAGTAGTAATCTGTTATTGAGTAGATTTTAGTGAACCATACATTCGTCGTGTTTGTCGTGATCCATGTGTTTTATTCGATTTTATTTATTTATACTTAATAAAAATAAAAGAAATTTTTTCAACCGATTTTTATATATTTTTGCATATTTAATGTGCATATTTGAATGATAATCAGTGAATAAATGTATGCATATTTTGTACGTTTTTAATGTATATAATTCCGGGCCCTACATATTGCTAACCCAACTTCAAGAGGAGTGGTGGCAATCGTTGAAAAAACTAACCAAATACCTGTTCAATTCTTAGAAACGGTCAGAAGTTCGTGTAGACAACGATAACTGCACAGTACATCATAAAAATATGTGACTAAATATTTTTTTTAAATAAATTTTAATTTATATTATAATCAATATACTACTTTGAAGATTTCGAGTAGTGTCATATTTTAGTCCATGTTGAAGAATGTTGATGAATGATAAGCATTACTATTTTAAATATATAATATACATTTTTGTATATTTTTTAAATAATACTAATTTATTGTATATAAAAGTGTATTACTATAATTTGTAAATACATTGAATCAAAACTTATATCAAAGAATTTTTAGTCTAATTTCTTAATATTGCCAGACAATTTCCCAAAACATTTCTGTCTTGTGTTTTTAGAATTATTGTTGGTTATATTGCATTGTTATTACTTATTACCTATTAATTATTAGTTTTCCCCTAAATATTTACAACGTTTGCTTATAATACGGTTGTTTCATAGTTAAATGATGCATCAAATAAATCTAACGATTTACCATTGTATTTCCGTATAATTAATAAATTCATATTTATTGAGAATAACATTGATTTTTTTTTTTTTTAAGAATCTGGAAAAAAGTCACCAACCTTGTATTTTTTTTTTCTGGAACATTTTCAGAAATCATTCGTTTTTTTTATTTATCACCGAAAAAAAATCTGTATTGTTTTCGTTTTTGGATATACCTTGGGTTTTTTGGGCGGGTCCTTGGATGTACACGTGGTCCATTCAGTGGGAATATAATATATATTATACAATCGGAAGTAATGTTTTTTTTTTATTTTCATGACAGCCTACATGGACGGGAAATAAATGAAGGGTAATCTACACAACCGTTGTTTGTGTTAACTGGAAAAAACGGACGTCCTCATAATACATACGCAATTAATGTACATACGCTTTGTTGCTCAATTTGTGTGATTTACATGATGAAACGACACGTCTCGTTTCTAGAGTGTGGTCTACATTATTATTATTCTGCTTGATCGTCGAATTGTCGTCAAATATCCACTATTAGATTAGATCATTGCATACCAATTGTTGGTCGTTTCACGCCAACTGATGGTGGTTATCTATATACATGCTAGTAACAGTTATTAATAATTTTAAATAGTCATTTTTTTTTACAATTTTCATTGCTAAATTGTTAGTCATGAGTCATGACTATTGTACCCACATGATACCGCAGTGGTTTGACATTGGTCGTCAAAAATTTTTAGTTTCCTTAATATTTTTATATTATTATGCTTTTGTTAAGTATTATAAATATTTGTTAAATATTATAATAATAGGTATAAAATATGTATTTTACTACAGTCACCATTAAATTAGACGTTATGTGTTTAAATTGTTTAAAAGAAAACTGAAAATTTTATAACAATTTTAATTTTCTTATTATCTTACATATATTTCTTTTTTCAACGAATATGGTTAAAATACCATGTTTCATGTTACATTGTTATAATGTTACATCCACATAATATTATATAGCTTATTATTTGGTAGCAATAATTTTGTTCTTTCGATAACGATACGCGAAGTGCATTGCTATTTTTAACTTAATAACTATTACGGTTATTTATTTTTTCAGTATATATTTACAATTTTTTATTCATTATTTTATTTAGACTCTATATCACTTTTCTTTTGACCGACGTTGAAGACACATCATATTATAGCTACATATTCAGACATCATAATTATTTAGCTAGCAGGTATAATATTTATTTTAAGTTAGATATAACTAATCAGTATATTAATATTTGATTTAGAAATATTTAGATATAAGTGTTTAACGATAAATAATAATAAAGATCTGAGGAATAATGTTTACTAAATTTAACCCACGCGCAACCTAGCAGAATCAATCTTGTGTTGTTAGCTTAGCTTTAGTATAGAAATTAATTATTGATGTATTACCAAAAATTAAATTAAAAAAAAATATTCTCATTATCTATGTTTTACGCTGCTTCGATTTTTGTATAAATTATGACGTTGTGAGTACTTATGTAAGATATTATTTAAAAACTGTTATATTACATCGCATAAAATCGAAGTATCATAAAAAAATAAACGTATTAACACTGATAATGTTTTTGTTGCGTATGGATTTAGTTTTGTATTATTAATTTTGTAGTAATTTCAGGAAAAGATATATTTTTATTTTAGTTAGTAGTCTTTCCTAAATTATAATTTTGTTTGTTTGATTTTATATATTATATTATATAAATTTATAATGTCAAGATAACTGCTGACGCTTACTGTATATTTAGTATATATTTTATAGACTTTCACAAGCATACTGAGATCTATTATTTGTATCAAATAAAATCTTTTGTTTCATTAAGTATTTGTTGCAAATTTTTATCTATTATTTATAATACAATTATATAATATGATTGAGTTTTTAAATTAACACATTTTTAAATTATCGGACACACTATATCACGTATTTAAGTATTTTGTATCAATGTAAAGTTTTTGTATTGTTTTTATTATTGATAGTTTACACTGAAATTACTGTAAAATTAAATGTTCATCTCTGTTAAACAACTATGTTTAAACATTTAAGTGCTATGAAATATCAAATATTTAACTGTCAATTGTTGTATGATATATACAATGATTTACTATATTATGCGTGTATACTATATAGGGATGAATTCATCGATTCTTTGAATCAAATGTGATGCATAGAATTATTATCATTTCTGAGAAAAAAAGCATAGTTTTGACTTTAATAACTATAATAATATATTTTCGTATAAAATTCCAACAATTTTCATAGATTCCTAGATTCGTTATCTTGAACTGATTATTAATTTAATTGTAAATACATAGTATTAAGAGGACACCGCATCCACATGTGTTAGCTCTGTCTTACAACATGGCAAATTTTCGTTCAACAGAATCTATTTTATGTTGTTAGCTTTAACATTAGAGTAAATTTACCTATTATCAAACTTAAATGTAAGAATTTTAAGCAATGACATAGGTTTTTATTAATATTATAATTTTAAAGTTTCAATATTTTGTATAGGTATAACTCAGCTTAAAATTAAAATATCAATAAAATCATGTCATTGCCCAGATAAAATTCTTACCTTTAAGTTTGATAATAGGTAAAT